TTGTGTATCCAGGGTTGGCTGCCTGGCCTGCTTGTCCCACCCAGGCGAGTCGCCTGTCTTTGTTTGGCTGTGGCAGAAATTAATTGGATTTGTAGCTCCGTTCTCTAGGGCTTTGTGGCCCCAGCTAGTGATGCTCCAATAAAAGTAAGTAGTAAAGGTTTACGGGCAGCGGTGTGATTCTCACACCTTTAACAGGCTTGTTTCAGGTCCACTGCATAGTGCAGGTGGAGGAAATGACAAGAGGGGGTGGAACCAACACTGAAAGCAACTCTTAAAAAATGCGGAAAGGAGACATTTAGGGCAGCCACATATACAAGATTGTTAAAGAACTCAGAGGTTGAAACAAGACTTTGATGCCTAGCATCAACTCGGTGCCTTCTGCTCTGGCACTCCTGCATCTCCTCCTAGAGAACATGTTGGGGGCTGCTCCTGGCCTCTCACTGTGTTTGAGGCAGGGTCTCTTGTTCATCACTGCATACACCAGGCTAGCTTGACTGTGAACTTCTAGTGAGTCTTGTTTCCCTATAATAGTGCTGGGATTATAGGTGTGTACCACCACCCTGAACACACATGTACACATGTGAAATACACACACAAATGGAGAGCCAGTTATTTCTCTGCCACATTGGCAGTGTAGACTCCAAGGGCATGAGTGGTTTTTCTGGATCCCTGGGTCCCCAGGGCTAGCACAAACCTTTACCCATATACACCCTGTGTTAAGAGTTTACACGGGGCCGTGTCGACCTGCATTCAGCATTAAAAGTTGCACCCCAGCCCTTTCCCACCTTGTCATTTTATACATATCACACTTTTGTAGGATTTAATGGGGCTTTAAAATTTTCCATTTATATTATGTATGAGGGAAGCTTTATTTTCTCATAAATAAGCGTTTATGGTGCTTGTCTGACTTTGGTTACTGTGACCGAGTATCTGAGAGGGACAACCGTGGAGGGAGTGGGTTTTGGCTCATGGTTTTGCAAGTTTTAGCCCATTGTGGTAGAGAGGGCATAGTGGAGCAGAGGAGAGAGAGAGGGAGAGAGAGAGGGAGAGAGAGACCTAGACAGAGACACCGAGAAGATGTACACAGAGAGACAGAGACACATATACACACAGAGAATATGCCTGTGCTGCAGGCTCGCTCCCCTTTCTCCCACTATTACTCCATCCAGCCCCCCAGATTGTGGGACAGCACCACCCACATTCAGAGACACCCCAGCTTCTGCTTCCCTTTTTTCTAGATGATTCTGCCATCCATCTGGTCAAGTTAGCACTCAGGATTAACCACGATGATATTTCCTTTCGCGTTATAGAAGTAACTTTATCCTTATTTGAAAAAGCATCCCAACACGCTGTATGCTGTTGCACAAGCATGCACTCTTATCAGTTAAAAATAAATATTTTACCAGTGCACACATTCAATCCCAGCACTTGGGAGGCAGAGGCAAGCAGATCTCTACGAGCCCCCTGCCCCCAATGTAAGTATTTAAAAATAAAAAGTTAAACCTGCAGAAAGAGCACGCTGGCTGGCGTGGCAGTTGCTCTGAGTGGAGGTGGCTCTATAAGGATGGGGAGGTGAAGTTCTGAGCTGGGCCCATCACTGCTGAATCATCATCATACACTGAAAATGTCAGCTGTCCCCCAGGCAAGGAGGGGATCCCAGGCAGTGTGGATCGCCAAGGCCAGTCCCCAGCTGGGCCTCCCATTTGTAGCTGATTCCTGCCTGACTGTGCACCTGGGGTCTGGAGGAGCTGCCTGACTTAATTAAAGGGGCACCTTTGTCTCTTGAAGATGAGTAGATTTGGCCTGTAGCTTTTGAAGGTACTGGCTGCCTTCTCTTGCCTTTGATCTGCTTCCCCTATGGCCTTTAGGATGCTCCAGGGGTGTGGCCTGTGCTTCACTCCCGCAGAGCAGTGTGGGCTCTCCTCCTCCTCCTCCTCCTCCCAGGACCAGGAAGCAGGTGGAGAGTGAGATCGCTGTTTTGGCTCCTTCTAGGTTCTTGGGCTGGCCTAGTGTTAAATTGGTGCAAGCGGATTAATGGGAGAAACAGGGTTATCTTTTTTTTTTTTTTACCCCTTCAAGCAAAACAATTTAGTTTGGAACACCTGTGCAGTTACTGCACAACAGTGTGAGATTAGATAAGGGGGTCTGTGGTCAAAGCTTGCATAGTCATCCTGAGCTTTAAGAAGCTAATGGAGTGAATGGGTGGGTCTAGGAAAGGGCCGGAGGAGTGTCTGGAGAATAAAGCCACCCTTGCGTGGCGAGAGTTGCCTCAGAGTGGTCCTCTCCTCGAACCCGCCTCCTTCTCCATCCACATTCTCTTTCCAAACGTGAGTTCTTTTGTAAAATGAAGGCTGTTTTCTCATCATGTAACTTTCCTGGGGAAATGTGGACAGACGCCTGCTTCACCCCAGGTGGGTGCCAGTGACAGATGAGATGACTGCAGTCACCCCCAGGAGTCGGTGATCCAAGGACAGTTGTACTATTGAGAAGTCCATCCAGCATGGGTGACAGCTCACTCACAAAAGCTGTGTCCTGGAGAGTGACTTGTCCAATTTGCCGTCAGCTCGGCCGGTCTGAGTGTGGTCTCTCCCCAGCAACTGTTACTACTTATCATTAGAATTATTAGTTGTTGTTGTTATTATTATATTATTGTTATTATTATTCAGTGGACAGCTTGCAGGAGTTGGTTCTCTTTTCTCCGTCTGGTCCCCTGGGATTGAATTAAGGTCGTCAGGCTTGGTGGCAAATGCCTTTACCTGCTGAGCCATCTCCCTATCCTGTCACTACTTATACGACATTGGGGAGGAGCCTTGTAAATCTTTTACTTTTCAGAAACTTCCTGCCAGTGACTTTTGTTCTGCTCTGTTCACTTCCTGGGCCTTGCGTCTTTCCTTTTCCTTAGTCTTGGGAGCCCACTTCCTCTCTAGGAAGGACCATTTCCATTCAGAGGAAATAGCTACTCATAGTCTCTTATCTCACCCAGTTGGAGGAGGTCAAGAGCATTTTCCTGCCTTGGCTAATTCTATTTCTTTTAGCTTAAAGTAACCAGTATGTCAAAAGAGGCATGTTTTGGCATGGCATGTTCTGAACTCTTCTGTGTCCTCTCCAAATCCCTAAATGCATACAGTTACTTCCTCAGTCTAGGAATCCTCCCCCCTGGAGGCCATCTCTGCTTAGCATGTGTGTTTCAGTTACACACTCCTGGGCCACAGGACCTGCAGTGGGCATTTGCATGGCTCGAAGTCTCTGAAACTTCGTGGGCATTCTCCACGTACCCATACCTCCTCAGCCTTCCCTGTCAATAAAGACACTCCCTAGAGGCTCAGCCCACTCTTTTGCCCTCTGAGATGGGTCTTGAGGACACAGAGTTAGCAGAGATGCCCAACCATAGCCTAGTAAGATTTTCATGGAAAAAAATGTAATGAAACCTCCCAAGCTGAGATAGGTAAAGGACTCCCAGTCAGCAGTCTCCTAGGCTGTGGAAAGCTTTCCCAGGTCTCATTGCAGGAAATGGGGTTGTGGGTGTGACACAGGATGACTCCCCTCGCTCCAATCCCATACCCCACACTCTGAGCTGCACCCTGCTCCCCAGCTTTGATCTGCCGATATTGTTTCCCCAATGCTCTGTCCCCAGCAGTTGCCACTGTGTTCCAGGGTCATGGGGGGAGGGTCAGGGTGAGTGATGACTCCTCCTTTTCTGTTGCTTGAAGCTGCAGGGGCTGCTAACCCAGAAGCAAGCAGACATGGTCTGCCTCAGGTGGAGGACTGCGGGAGGGTGCCTAGAAGAGGGTGATAGGGACGTTGGTGTTAGGCATGTTCCAGGTTGGGCTTCCCCTCTGAGGCTCTCCACCAGTTGAGCTTGTCCTGGTTTGGAAGAGCAGGTGTTGGCTGGTAAAATGGTGCCTCGGCTGGGATAGGTTCTGTCTCTGGGAGGTGGGAGCCACTGGATGCCGAAGCCCAGAAGAGATGAGGCCAGCCTGTGTCTTGACTGTAAGCTCTAGCTGCTTGGTGGGATATAAACTGTGAGGGCTGCTGAAGCAGGAGGCCATCAAGGAGACATGAGGATAACCAGTTTGATGATAGTGAGTTATAAAGCCGTGGTTACCTGGGAGAAGGAGGAGGAAGTGGCAGTGGCTGGAAGCATCCCTGGGATCTGACTGCACGGAGTTCCTTGTCACTCTCCCTGAGTGGAGTTTTTCTTGGTGGGGGATCCCAAAGAGGAGATTTTATCATGGGAATGGCTGTAAGATGAATGTCCCCTCCCCCAGAAGGGGCTAGAGTCTTACACTGACAAGGTATAGGTCAACTTAGGGGACGGTCGTTAGGGAGGCTGCTGCTAATGGAGTTGTGATGTGGTGACTAAAGGCTGTGGTGATGGCACGTGCCTTGGGGATCACAGCTGTCCAGTGGTGCCCTTCAGGGCCATATCTCTACACAGCTCCTGCTCCCAAGGTTCTGTCATAGGAGGACACAGGACTGTACGCCCTTGTGGATGGGTAGCCATGATGGGTTGGAGCTCATTAGGGGCTTTCCTATCTTCACTGTTGTCCTCACAGGCTCTGAAGAACAGGAGGTAACTGGGCAGCCTTCTAGGCTTCCCTCCTGGGGGGACCGGGACGGGCCACTTGCCTACCCTGTAGGCATCCTGGGAGCCCCCATACTTTTCCTATAGCCCTCCAGAATATGGCTGCTGTGTTGATAATGGCAGTGTGGTGACAGAGGACAAAAGCCCTTGAATCAGATCCTTCATATGCCTTCATATCCTCAATACGGGCTATAGAGGCTTGGGAACCAGCTGAGGGCTGACCCACACATGGCCCAGGAACTGCTCCCCTGAGCCCACCAACCTAGAAGGCTGGTCTGTCATGCAGGATGGTAGAAGGCACTGACAAACTGGGCTGCTTCGCTGTGAGATGGGGCCTAGGGTGGCCTGCGGACCGGCCCACACGGTGGCAGGGATGTAGAGATCCGCTGTCCTCACTTTTGCCTTCTCTCTGCAGGCCTTTTCCCTCAGAGGAGACAGCTGAGAATGATGACGATGTCTACCGAAGCCTGGAAGAGCTGGCCGAGTAAGTAGAGGAAGGCTGATGGGGGAGGACACGAGGAAGGAGCCCCTGGCTCAGCAGCTGAACAAGCTGCTCTCAAGGCAGAGGCAGCCTTGGCTGTCCGCTCTCTGGTGTCCCCGCCAGAAGCTGGGGTTTCCGCGTGGCTGAGTTACAATGCTTGCTGTGTACCCTCTGCCTTGTAGAAGGCTGCCCAGCTGCTTGTTGGTCCTGGTTGGTGGCCTTTCTCTTGGAACATTTCCTTCTGTGGGGTTGCTGGGAGTGGCGCGGGGCAGGTGAGGTGTCCTTGTGCTCCTCTTTCCTGGCCTTTGGGCTCCGCACTGTGTGGCTCCAAACAGTGGGGCTTGTGACTCAGATCGCCTTATAGCCCCCCTGATTAGGGTGTGGCTTGCAGGGGAGAGCTGGTTCCCCATCTCTTAGTGACCCCCTGCTTCTTAATTCCCCCGAGGATTCTCCCCCCCTCTCCTACATGCAGGCCGAGTCCAGTCATTTCCCCCACAGGGATGACGGAGCCTTTGGCCTAGCTCTACAGCCTTCTGTGGTCATATGAATGGGATCATGTGGCCAGTGTGGGATTACCCAGCTCTCTGTCAAGGTGGGGAAATAGCTCACCCTGAGCCTAACTGTGATAGAGGCTGGGAGGGGCCCTGGCTGGGAGGGGCTGATTCTGCCCAGGACCTAGTTTGTTATTGGCAGCCTCTGGCCTATGTGTCTACTTTTCTCCCAAGCTTGAGGTCCCCTTGGGCCTCCTGGTAAACTTCTGTCCTCAATTTTTATCACGTTCTGAGAAATGCATTTCTTCCATGGAGACTGGCTATCTCTCTCCCTCCTATTGTCTCAGCGCGAAAGCTCAGAGAGGAATCAGATGTGCCGGGGCTGCGTGTTCTGAGCACCTGCCGTTAAGGGGTTTTCTGCACTTGCAACCCCATTCTGTACTCCCCCCCCCCATCTGCGCTGTCTCCAGAGATGGAACATTGGTGTGTTTGCAGGGTCTCTATTAGATGGTCTAACGTTGTGATGGGACACTGTCACCTACAAAGTTAATGCTCACGAGCCGCACCCCCCCCATATATGTCTGAAACAAGTTTATGATTTGTGTTGGCCTCATTCATAGCCGTTCTGGGCCCCATGCAGCCCACAGACAGCGCTTAGACATACCTGGAATGCATTCATAGCTTAGCTTGTCTGTCTTAGCCTGGCAGCCCTGTCCTGTAGTTCTGTGAGAGCCGGGAATTCCTCACCTGGAGGCAGAGGGAATTCCGAAATGGGTTGCCAGAAGACCTGGGATGCTCCCGTGGGTGGGAAGCCCAGAGTTCCTTCAGACATCCGTGGAATCCTCCTGGGCTATAGGGAGTACACTAAGAAGGAAATGAGTTTGTGAAAGTCATCCAAGACCTTGAGTCCTTTGCCTGCTGGGTCCTGTGTGACTCCGACCTCTCTCCAGAGTTAGAGAGGGGCTTAGGACACTCAGGTGCAGGCAGAACACCATGTGGGTACAGAGAATTGAGGGAAAGGGATTCAGGCTGGTGGCACAGCACAAGGGAGAGAGGGCACCTCTGCCCTGGTGTTGCAGTCTGGGGATATGTGCTGGGCTCAGGGTTATCCTAGGTGCCCTCGCTATGGGAAGCCTTGGTGAGCTACCCACAGCACTTGTGCCCTGTTTGCTATCTTAGAAACTCAGTGTTTAGGTGGTTAAATGTCTCCCGGAAACCAGGAGGGTCCTGAGGTCAGGCCCAGTGTCTGAAGACTCCAGCCCTTAGTACGGGCCTGGTGTATCTGTATGGGCAGTGCTCGCTAGATCTTACTGGGACCAAGCACGACACCCTTTTCCTCTCATGCTTTGTAAACTCCAGCCTTCTGTTGCCTCCTCTTCACAGATTGGGAAATGAGCCCAGAGGGAAGCTGCAACTGATTTGTGTCACTCAGCTAGTAAGTGGCATGCTGATCTTTGACTCTAAGTCTGCCCTAACCTCTCCTCTAATTGGGTGATCCTATAGAGGCTGGGGACCTCTGGCTGGGCCAGTGCCGGGAGCAGTTCTCCTGAGGTCTCTCCTGAGTTTTTTTTCTCCTGGAAATGTCCTTCAGGTGGGCACAGCCTGGAGTTTGGAAGTACAAGGACCATGTAGGTTTTGTGTATCTAGGGCCAGGTATGAGATATCCTGATATTTTAGGGCTAGTGTGTTTTTCAGGTGCTATCCTGGAGGTATCCTGTGTACTATGGTTCGTGGGGTGCCTTTCAATCTCAAGGACTCGCTTGTGGTCAGTCTGGTCTGGAACCTGGGTACCCACCTCCCTCTTCCTCTGCCCCTTCTGGTTTGCCACTGGTCTCTTTCTGCAAGACAAGCTGGAACTGCTCTCGTAGGGATATAAGTTGAGAACATGTAGCCTTGCTCGGCCAGAAGCTGTTCCTCGGTGACATTCACCCTGAGCCCCCTTAATCCCTAACCTTGCCATTACTGCAAACCTGAACCGTAAATTACAGGGAACGAGACTGAGTCTGGATCTTTAAGTTGCCGTTTGGTCCCAGTGGCTCCAGTTTAATAAATTTTCTACGCTTCCCCCTTGCCCCCCCCCACCTTTCTTCTCCTTTCCTTGGAAGGCAGATTTCCTGGTCTCTGTGGAACTGGTGGTGACGTTTGCCCATTATACAAGCAGACAGCCCTGGGAGGGCATGAGACAGCAGCTGGGGAGAGTGTCATCTTGTGGGAGCAGCTGTGTGTCGGGGGAGCATTTCAGAGTATAAGGGGCTGGATCCTCAATAGTGATTATATTGCATGTCTCCAGGACCCTTTCAGCCACCCTGACCCAGACACTGCAGCTTGTGGTGGTGGTGATGGAGGTGGTGGTGGTGGTGGTGGTGGAGGGGGTGAGTTAAGCATTGGCTCCCTGATGTGACTGCCTCCTTGGTGCTCCAGGTCTGATCTGTGGGCAGTCTCCATTGTCCAGCTGGGCCGTGCGCTCCTGGAGCAGTGCACTGGAGCCCTAAGGCTGCCATTTCCTGCTCAGTTGGTCTTGGCAGATTGCTTGCTTCCACGTACCTCGGTTTCCTTCATTGTAACACATGACGTCAGTACCTGGTTGGTGGGCCTGTTGCGAAGGCAGCGGCACTGGAACTACAGGGTGCTCACGGGCCCCGTGGGCACCTGGGGTCTCCTTCTCAACCAGCTTCATTGACTGAGACCATCACTCTCCCCGGCCTCTAAGTGGCGGTGGCAGCTCCGCGTGGAGGAGAGCAAACATGAGTTATATGCCTGGCTGCTGATTTTCTAGTAGCCACAGGAACAGCCTAAGCAGAAACAGGTGAAGTTAATCTGAAGAATGTATTTTATTTGAACTGATTGACCCAAAATGTTGCCAGAGCGGTGTTTTCCGCGGAACGGCTGCCAACAAGAAATTGCGTTTTCAGTCAGTCCCCTGGCCGGGCATATAGTTTGTGATTGGTCCAGATTCATTTGTTACATGACAACCGTGCATGGCCCCGAGCCACTGAGCTGGGCAATAGGAGCCGTGGTCTCAAATGTCCTTCCGGGAGCTTGAACAGAACCCCACACGTCAGGAACACTGGAAAGGGCTCTCAGCTCCCTCTTCAGATTGTTAAGCAATGTGTGATCAAGTAGTCAGAGCAGCTGCCTGAGACGACAAACACAAAACACTGCCACTTAAAAATGTCATTATTAAGCAAAACAAGCCCAAAAGGAAAGGCCTGCTTTTCAGTCGCTCTAAAAAGTGGCACCTGCATTTGCATAATGGCCTGCCTCTAAAAGTGTCTGAGCCCACCTCTCAGGTCTGACCCCCAGTCTACAACTGTAAGGCTATTACCATTTTATACAGAAGAGCTGATGGCGCAAGAATAACACACACATGTGAGGTGCAGCAGCCAGGGCCCCGCGGCTGCAAATGTCTGGCTTTGGCCCATTGTCTTCCTCTTGCCTTTCATGGCTCTCTGTGCCCAGGTGACATGGCTGGGACCTTCCCAGGGCCCAGGAAAGCAAGGGTGCTTGTCACTCACCGCCGGCTGTGTAGCTCTCCTGCTCTGTGTTACTGTCTCAAGTTTCTCGGTCCCTCCAAGGGCCCCAGTTTCTCCGTCTCCACTCTGAAACCTGCACAGATGTCCCTTTGAGGTCACAGACTTCACAGTCTGTCATGGCAGAGCCTGCTTTGTGCTGGCTCTGACTTCATTGTCCTCTGATGTGAATTCATTTTCAGCCTTAAACACATGGGCTCGTGCCCAGCCAGGGGTTGTAACTTTTCTGTAAGGGTATAGCTGCATATTTTATTGCATTATGAAACAGCTATGGAGTAATTCTTAAGCATAGAAATGAAGGCGGGTTGGAGTCCTTCCATGCTCTGGGGGAGGGGGAGTTGAGGTATAGAGGGGTGGCAGGGATGGCAGTGACTTGGGACGGTGGTCGTCTTTCTCCCATCTGACCCCAGAAACGCCAAGCCCTGGCCACTCTGCAAGCTCTTTAATAACAGAGAGCAAGGGCTGTATCCTGTGGGACCCATCTCTACCCCAGCCCATGGTCCTCCCTCTGCTCAACACTGTCAGAGAAAGCTAAGTCTAAAATCTGTCTTCAGAGTTTTCTAGTTCAGCGCTGCTCCTTGAGGCTGGTGTGTACAGGATGCCGTGCTCGGAGCCTGGGGTGAGTTGAGAGGGTGTGTTTGGGATGCTTTATATTCACCCCAAATAGCTCCTTTCCCCCAGGGGTGAGCTTTAGAGCAGACTTCACAGAAAAGACCCAATGTGGGGAGGGATAAAAAGCCAGGCATAGTGGGGCACACCTGTAATGGTGGCACTTCAGGAGCTGGGATGCTAGAATCAGGAGTTCAAGGCCAGCCTGGGCTACGTGAGTCTTTGTTCTTCCAAGCAACAACAACATGTCTCCTGACCCCTTCAGAAGGCATCTGTGGCCACACACCCCTGGAAAGAGTACAGACCAATCTCTTATAGTTGAGAAGGGCGAAAAGTAAGACCTCCTCTTTGAGTAGAGGTGGGGACGGCACCC